AAAAAAAAACATACTTTCCTTTACATTGACTTAAAAGAAAAAACTACCACAAATAGAAGCTTTGATGATAGTTAGGAAAACAAAAAGTTACAATAGTGAAATCAACCTAAGTCTTATCAAGTATTATATCTATTTTAAATTTCTAGTTAATTTTCATAAAATAATGTTACCCCAAATATGCCTTTACTCCTTCTCCTTTCTTCTCCCATTCCCAAAGCCTTTAGAAAAAATACACTGGAAAAGACTAATCTGCATTTAAAAGAAGTCTCATTCATTCATTACTATAGCGTATAATGAGGAAATTTTACACAAGCCTCTTCTTTACCACATTTATTGAGCAATCTTAATACCTTAAACATTAAAAATTGATAGATTTAAAAATTTTACTATTTTGATCTATTCCAACATGGAAAGGAATATCCATGTCACTCTGTGACACAGACAGTTCTGAATGAATGTTAGGGTCTGTCACCTACTGGCTGCTTGATATTGGGCAAATTACTTGACCTTTTGTGCCTTAGTTTCCTTATCTGTAAAATGAGGATATGATAGTGTGACCACCAGATAGAGTTGTTATGAAGCTTAAATGACATAATCCATATTTAAGTACATAGAACAATGCCCAACTTATAGTAACTACTTAACAAACATTGTTATTGATGTTTTAGAGTCCCAGCTAAAGAAAGAAAAAGAAAAAAGATACTTCTGATAAATGTAAAAATGGTAAAGAACCATCATTTACTAGGAACCTAATGCCTGGCTATTTTTTGGTTGCAGCCATCACTGTTGTTTGGCGGGCCCGGGCCGGATTCGAACCTGCCACCTTAGGTGTATGTGGCTGGCGCCTTAGCCACTTGACTCACAGGTGCCAAGCCGTGTGTGTAGGTCTTAAACCCGTCTGCAGGTGACAGGAAATACTGCCCTTTTTAAAAAAAGTACCATTTAAAATTGAAGCTAAAGGAGTTTACCATGTGAAATGGGTTGGGAGATTTCTAAGCTAAGAGTTCAACAATAAATGGTGGGAGAAGAAAATAAAAGAGCCCATGAGAATAATTTAAATTATATGTCATTAGAGATAAAAGTAGTGAGGTGTGGCATGAGAGAAAGCTAGAGAAGCTGCCCAGGGAAGACCTTTTGT